ATAATTATTTTTAATAAATATAATAAAAAAATAAATCTCAACAATTAAAAACAAAGAAATGACTAGTTAAGATTTTAATTATGTAAATATAATTTGTAAGATTTTTATTTAAATAAATTATTAAATAAATAAAGATAATTATCTTAAAACAAGTTTTGAGTCAAATACAATTACTAACACAAAAAGTAATACTAATCTTTTTTTTTTTATTTAAGCGATGAAACTTTTACCATTTTACAATTTGATAATTGTGTCTGATTATATAAAAAAGAAGACGTTAATAATATACGGATAATGTAAATTAAGGAATATATGATGTTTTTTTATTATATAACTTAAAATTAAAAAAAAAATTACATAGAAGGGGAAAAATACAACAAGGAATTGTGAGGACAATTTCCTCGCAATGGCAGCTTGAGGACCCATATGCCGAGTGTATGATTTTTAGCTTTTGTCCCCTTCCTCCCTAAATCCATTTTTCAGCTACCTCATAATTATTGTTTTCTTCCGGTTAAACTCCTATTTTGGTCCCTAAACTATTGTACTGACCCTTGATTTGGTTCTTGAATTAAAGAAATCCCTAATTTGGTCCTTGAACTATTGTATAGATTCCTAAGTTGGTCCCAAAACTATTGTATGAACCCCCGAGTTAGCCCCTAAACTATTATACGGATCCTCAATTTGGTCTTTACTATTTACCAATTTAGCCCCAACTTGGTCTTTCTATTAAACAATAGCTCAGGGACCAAATTGAGGTGAAATTGTAAACAGTAAAGACCAAATTGAGAGTCCGTATAATAGCTCAATGACCAACTTAGGCCAAATTATAAACAGTGGAGACCAAATCGGGATCCGTACAATAGTGTAGGGACCAAATCAGGGATTTCTTTAGTTTAAGGACCAAATCGAAGGTCTGTATAATAGTTCAAGGATCAAAATGGAAATTTAATCATTTCTTCCTAACGGATCGTGATTTAATAAAAAGAACATGTGACAGATTATTTAGTAATAAACACAAAAATCGTACGCCAATCTAGACTGCAATAATTGTCCTGTCACATGCAATCTAATTTTTTGAATGTATTCCTAATGAAAAATGCTAGGTACCACGTGCTAGGGGGACCAACCCTAAAAGGCCGACAAAAAGAGAACTTGATTGGACTAATAAATTTTCATTTTTGTTTTAGGTTGAAATTTATTATTTAGTTCTTAATTTTAACAATTTTAACTTTTTTTGTCTCTTTATTTTTTTAAGTTAAAACTAATTTAAACAAGGTTAAAACCCCATTTTGGTCTTGAACTATTGTACGGACCCCTGATTTGGTCTCTAAACTAAAAAAATCTCTGATTTGGTCCCTACTGTTTACCATTTTAACCCCGATTTGATTCTTCCGTTAAATATCCGCCTACGTGTCTTGTTACTTGACGGAGAAAAGGATGACATATTAAAACATTTTGACACCTAGGATGTACAGCGTGGTAAAGAAATGAGATGGCAAAAAATTACTTTAAAAATTTACTTTTTTTTTTCTTTCTTTGTTTTTCTTTTTACCCTTTCTTCTTCCTCTCCCTTTCCTTTCACCTTCTGCAAACCCTAACATTTCCTAATATTGAATTCGAGAATAACACAACAAACCAACAGATAAAAATCAATAGATCCTTTGATCCAACTGCAGTTGGGTTGGAAACAAAACACATCGCTTGCTAGGTTTGAAATCGAATCCAACACCTGCAAGAATATGAGGATAACACAACAGATAACAAATCCATAAATAAATCGAACTCAACAGATCCATTGATTGAGTTTGAAACAGAACCCAACAAACAACAGATCAATAAACAAATGGAACTCAACAGATCCATTGACCCAACAGTTGCTGGGTTTGAAACGGAACCAGTGCCTGCTGGGTTTGAAATCAGACCCAGCACCTGCAAGAACCCAGCTTGAACACAGTGCCTGCTGGGTTCAAAATCGAACCCAGCACCTGCAGGAACCTAGCGGCTGCTAGGTTCGAAATTGAACCCAGCACCTATGCCTTCCTCATCTTCATCCACCTACAAAAACCCAACGGCTGCCTTGCCTTCTTCATCTTCATCAATCAATTTCTCATATCATCAAACAACAAAACCCAAACAAAGAAAACAGAAATTTCTTTTTTTTCTTTTAGAACTCAGGGCTGGGTATTAAGGAACCCAGCGCCTGGGTTTCATCGAACCCAGGCATGCTGGGCATCGAACCCAGGTGTTGGGTTCGGTGGAACCTAGGTGACGCCTGGGTTGCGTCGAACCCAGGCCTCGCCTGGGTTGCGTCGAACCCAGGCCTCGCCTGGGTTGCGTCAAACCCAGGCCATGCCTGGGTTCCGTCGAACCCAGTCGTGGGGGAAAAAGAAGGGAAGGGGAAGGGGAAGGGGAAGGGGAAAGAGAAAAGGAAAGGGAAGGAAAAAGAAAAAAAAATTAAGTTTTATTTTTTATAATATTTTTTTATATTGTTATTTTTTCCATGTCATCACTTTTTTGGTCTTATTGTCTTCCACGTGTATTAATATTTGACATGTCATCCTTTTCCCCGTTAAGTAACAAGACATGTAAGCATATATTTAACGGAAGGACCAAATCGGGGTTAAAATGGTAAACAGTAAGGACCAAATCAGGGATTTTTTTAGTTTAGCGACCAAATCGGGGGTCCGTACAATAGTTCATGGACCAAAATGGGGTTTTAACCTTTAAACAAATGTTTTTAAAGTTTAAAATTCTTAGAGTTTTCTATTTTGAGTGTTAGAGTTTAGTGTTCAAATTTTTATAAGATTTAATATTTAAGTCATTAGGGTCTAAATTTTTGAATAATGATAAATAAGATTAAAAATTGAGATTAAAATTTCATACTAATAACATGATATAAACTAATTTAATAATAGATCTTATATTATTTAATAATTAATTTTTTTATTTTTTAA